CTCCATACCATTTCATCATCTGATTTTCTGGAAGGTGTGTTTTTGATATGGAGCTTTCTGAAAGGTTTCTTTTCATAATAAACAAATGAAGAACACAAGTAAAGTTGACAGGAAACCCTACACCCAAAATACAAAAGAAAAAGGAAAAATTAAGGTTACTATAGAGATCTGTGAAGGAGAAGAGTTTCAGAAGCCCAGACATGATTTGGTCCATTAAGAAGTGCCTGATAAATACAGTCTTTGAACTACTAAACCTATCATTAATGTCCACTTAAATGCTCCAAGCAGTTTAACTTAGCAAAATTAGAGGGCTGGGGATAAAAAAAAAAAAAAAATGAAAGGAATGTTTTGTTGAACAAAACCAGACACCTAACTTAGCTGATGTGGGAATGGCCATTATCTTCTATTTCAAGGATTTTGTAGTCAGTTAATAGTTAATGCTAAAAAAGAAAATAAAATCACTGTCTCCTTACTCCTTTGCAGGCTATGCTCCCCAGATCTAAAGGTTCCACTAGATATAAAATTTCTATTGGACTTTGGTTTGATCATTTTAACACTGACTGACACAGTATTGATAATAGCAACACATGTCCTGAAAATTAATGATTCAACAAATATTTTAGAGGAGATTTGTTTGGTATCTCACGTCCTGCCGTGGTAGACCTTACAAATGTACTATAAACCATAACATAAATAAGTGGCTGGTTCCTCACTGTTCAACCACACCTACTATTTATTAAGCACATAGTTTTGTGTATTTAATATCCCTGGAAGTCAGCCTCTATCTTCTGGCCTTTCTTTAGTTTTTCTAAATTCCTATTACTTGCTCTTACTATTCATTTTACTGTTCCTTTATATTGTGTTAATTTTTTGATATCATTTTACATATGTATTATTATTATTATTATTGTACTGGAATCAAATTCAGGACTTTGCTCTTTCAAGGCAGGGGGTCTGCCACTGAGTTTATGTATCATTCATATTAACTAAAATGGATTAACCATACAGTGAGGTTTAATTATGAACTCATTTCTAAATAATAATAAATTTGTTCAAAGAAGAAGTTGAACATGAACTATTCTTAGGCCTGACTGAATTATGGAAAACTACAGCAAAAAACCAAGTGAATTGTGAATGAAGCCCAGAATGATGGGTTGCTAGCTATTTAAGTTCCTCTTCCACAAATAACATTAGCTACTTAGACAGATTTTACTTCTTGAAGCTGATGTAAACTAAATTTCCAAATCTTGAAAACTCCTAACTGGAAGTTCCTTGTATTTAGAAGTGGTCATGAAATAATGCAAAAGCACTTCAGGAAACTTCTGAGCATGAATAAATAATCACGGAGAGAAAGAGATTTTGGGGGAAGCATCTGACAGACAAACAGAGTGGACTCAGAGGAAGAGTTGAAAACAGCAAAACAGCTAGGATGTTCTAATACAAACTTAGTAAATGTGTTCTATCAAAAGCTTACTCTGGGCTTCAACTTACTGGTTTCTAGCTGTTATAAAAGAAATAAAGGAAGGGAGAGAGAGAGGAGAAAAAGTAGAAAAGGAAGAGGGGGAGTGAAATCCTTATCTGTTCTTCTTGGGCTTAAAACAATTTAATCTGACAGGTTTGTAAACTGACTCCAGAACTAAAAGCAACACCAAAAGAGGTCAAAGCATCTATCGGGTTCCTGTAACATCTGCACTTTGGGGTACAGAGACTAAGGTGAAGCCGTGGGCCCTTCAGGAAGACGGGGAGTGTGTCCAGCAGTTGGCCTGTAGGGGCATTCTATGTGGCGGACGGGGCTGAGTAACTCCCTTAAATAACCGATTTACTGCCAACAGACAAAACACTTGCAAAAACTCTTCCACCACACTAAAAAATGACAAGCAAGTCGCTACTCAGACAATCCTCTTTTCCAGAAGGTAACCCTGCTCCTGCCAGCCACGTCCATGCAAGGGTCACAGAAGAATACCTCCTTCCTCTGACCCTCTTTCCTGGCCTCAAAAGTCGTTACAAAACCTTTGCTCTGTCTGCCAATCGCTTTTCTAAAGGGGGATGGGGATGTGGCTTAATTCCTTTCTTCCTCTCTCCTCCCTTTTCCTGTTTTTTTCCTTCCTTCCTTCCCCCTCTACTACCTTCCCCTCCCCACTTCTTCCTTTCTGTATTGTTTTAAAAAAACAAAAATAACCCCATAAGTCTCAGATCCTCCCCACACTCCACTAAAAAAGCCTGAAGTCAGGCACAGGCGGCGGGCTCCTTCGCCAGCACCATCTGATACCTGGATTCCTCCCTTCTTCCCTCTGCCCAGAGGTGCCCGGGCGAAGGCACAGAGGTAGTGAGACCTCTCTCCAAAACTTTCGACTGGTCGCTCCCACCTCCCACAAACTCTTTAAAGCCTTCCAGTGAGAACGGTACGGTGACCTCCGCCTGGCATTTTAGCACAAGAGGCAAAGCAAGAAGAGATTCGCCCCTTTGCTTCCCTCACAGCCCAACTGCGGCGAGCGCAGGGCCGCGCGGCCGGCGGAAGGGGTCGCTGTTTGATCGGAGCAGTCACCGACGCGGTCCGCACCTCCCACGGCCCCACTGGCCCAGCCCCGCCAAGTTCCAACAGCCCCCAGTCGAGCGAGCTCCGGGAACAAGCACCGCCCGGGCAGGAGCGCACGGCGCAGACGAGCCAAGCTGCGGCGCGCG